TGGAGAAATGATCTGTATGCAGGCGAGCATTCCCCACCATTGCCACCCAGGAGCATTTGTAGTTGCACGGTGACGTGGCATGGATTGAATTTGCATGTCCTCTCGTGCTGCAGTTTGGCATCCTGATGTCTCTGTGCTTCCCTTCTGAAATGTAAACCTACAGAAGTTACAAAATCTGTAGCTGTTCGCTGTTGCCTTGTGGACTGATAGTCCTGGGTAAGAATGTGCCGTGCAGCGAGTTTGGTGTCAGTGGTACATGCAGGTGCTGAAGGGAAAGGTGCCCGTGAGGTGCTTCATACTGAAACTTCAGCCTGTTGGACTTCTCCCACAGACAGGGAGGATGCACCCACTGTTTAGCTTCAGGTGCGTGTGTTCATTTAGACTAATGGGTAATTGGGTGCTCTATGGCTTGGAAGAGGTGGTGGGAGGATGTGGAAGCTGGCATTCCCTCTCCCAGGGTGTTAGTGCCAGGGAATGCCATGCTATGTGCTCCTTGCCTTACGCAGGATGAAGTGAGCCTTTCCCCGTGCTGTTGAGTGTGTGTCCCTGCACACGAGTGTGCTCTGGAGCTCTTCAGCAGTGGGAATGGACCCAGGCAGTTCTGCTTCCAGTTGCCGTTAGACCCCCCGCCCTGAGGTTTTGGTTCAGGTTTTGTTCAGAAAAGAATTTCAAGCATTTCTGTAAATTTTGGAAGTCTTGTCTCAATTTCAGTTCTGGCACTGCATCCTCCTGGGCTTAGGTTGGCTTCCAGTGCGATCACTGAATAATTGGAATGGAGATGGTGAGGTACATTTAAAGCTAACTGGCAGACAGAGGGTTTTTCCAGTGGTATGCTGATCCCGTGTTTTATTTCTAGTCCTTTCCATGAGAAATGGGTTGTATTTGAATTTCAGAAACCATAAGCTATATAGGAATGCATCTTTTAAATTACACAGTACATCAGGCAAAAACTCCCTGAATCTGGGAGACAACTTTCTGTCCTTTAATGTCTTCCTCTCTTTCACGGCCTCATCACTGCTGTACTCAGGAACGTTTGGGGCTCTATTTGGTCCTGTAAATTCTGATTCATAAAGCACAGAACCATAGAATTCCAGAATGATTCGGATTAGGAGGAACTTGAAAGATCATCCAGTACCAACCCCCTGCCATGGGCAGAGACACCTTCCACTTGACCAGGTTGCTCCAAGCCCCATCCAGCCTGGCCTTGGACACTTCCAGGGATGGGGCAGCCACAACTTCAAACTGTGGCTTCCTCAGCTGAGAGTTTTAATGAGTTGGAGGTAAAACCTGCACTGGGATTGTCTCAGATGTGCTGTCCTACTTCTGAGCCCCTACCAAGTGTCGGTTTGCATCGCTGTTGTGTATTTTGAGTTGGCCCAGGGCTGGCTGCTGTCAGCAGCTGATCTTTTCGCCTGAGAAGTCACTTAGGGCAAACTAAAGCACCTGGGGGTTTATTTTTGTTAAATATCAGCACAGACTGCAGTACAGGCACAGGGAGTTACCACATTTAATTACCTGCATTCATGCACAATGTGCTGCAGTGCCTGGGGGCTGTCAAGAGAAACTGGTTCTGTGTCACTCCTGGCACAGTCAGCCTGAAGGTGCTGATGCTTGGGGCTGTGCTGCATCTTCACTTCTCCTCAGCCTCCCACGCAGCAGCTCCATCACTGCTCAGTGCCACTTCTGTAAGAAATCTGGGATCTGACCTGTGACACAATGGTGCCAGGCCCTGCTGCCTGCAGAAAGCACCTGCAGCTCTGCAGAGGCTGCAAAAACACCACATCAGCCTTTTCTTGAGCTCTCTGTATCCCTGGGGCCAGTGACAGCAAAGTACAGCAATGAGGGCACCAGAGCCCTGTCCCATATCAACCTCTATCCTTGCAGTCCATGGCTTTTACTCATCCAGCTTGCAGTGCCCAGGTACAGCACAGTCTCATCCCTCTTCAGGTGCCGAGTTGTGAGGGAATTTTCAAGAAACCCATTGCCCTTTTCTGTCTTGTCTTTCTCTGTGGTCATTTCTGCCACCTAAAGGCAGCCAAAAAGAGCAAACAGTAGTTCTGGAGTGACCCAGGTTGTTGAGAGGCACCACAACTGCTCCTTTGTTTCTGGAAGCCACCAGCCAATGATGGGGACAGAAAATGGTGATGACAAAACCCCTGCTGGGCTTGTCTGGTGGTCTGCAGCCCATCTTGTCCTATAAAGCATTACTTTGCTGAGTGACCAGAGCAGCTCTGTGTCATCCCACTGTGCTTTTCTGCGTGGCACAGTCTCCCTATGGAAACTCGATCCTCTCCATCCCTGCAGCAGCAGGTAACTGTTTTTTCCCCAGTACTTTTCCTGCCATCCAGCAATCTGGTTGTGTCACAGCCTGTGAATTCCAGCCAGAAGGTGCCGGCACAGGAGGTGCTCTCAAGGTGTCACCTCACATCCAGTTCTCTTGCTGAGACTGTGTTTTTGAAATCTTCTCAAATAGATGTTTAGGCATTTGGAACTCTCCTGTGGACAGCCACGTTAGGAATTTTTGATCAATGTATTTCACAGAATCTTGTGTCTAAAAAAAGAATGTTTTTCCAAATGCAGGTGATAAAAAAGGGAAAAAGTTTAGGATTTTGGAGCCCCAGCTGTTGTACAGTGCAAAGACAACTCCTAGGAGAGCCAGCAGTGTTAATTCTGCAGTTTAATGAGTATTTGAGGGGGGAAAAAAAAGCCGGGACAGCTCTCTTCAGAGGCATTCTCTACCTAATTATGTTTTGGCACACAATGAAAGAATGTGATGTTCCTTCTTAAGCACTTCCTTTCAACTTAAACATTGTGCAACTGGAGCAGCAGTTTAAAGCCAGATTTAAAAAAAATGGAGAAAATGTGCAGTTAAGTGCTTTTCCTCTTGCTCTGATCAGCACTGTCAGCTTGGAATTAGCAGAGCAGATCGACTCTGAAATTTTAGCTTAGGAAAGGGAACACCTACAGCTGGAATAGCATTTCCTCGGAGCGTGCAGTCTGTGGAAAAAGGGTAATGTAAGTCAGTGGAGGAGTTCAGATGTCTTCGGGATTCAGTCATGTCCCATTTAATTTTAATTGCCTTTGAACAAAAGGCATTTCCTCTTCTAGCTCAGCATTTACAGGCTCTGGAAAGGGCTTTTGCTGACTCAAATCCTTGACAGTTCTCATTTTCCAGCCTTTGTTCCTACCTTCTTGTGGCTAGCTGGCTGCTCTTATTAGCAAAATAGCCTTTTTTTTTTGCCCCAGCCTGTGGAAATGTGGGAATTTATCTGTGAGATGTGCAGAACAGTTTCTCTGTTGTGCAGTAAGCACAGAATTCGATCACCAGACTGTGGTGCACTGAACCTCCTGCTTCAAAAGAAAAGAACAAGCCACAAGGAATCTCAGCAAGGTAAAAGGCGGAACATCAGCCTGGGAATGAAGTCCCAGCCCTGAAGCGCCGGGAATGTGAGGAGCAGTGATTTTACTTTGACCCAGTTAGGATGTACAACCCAGCAGCTCTGTCTTCTGTGCATGGCCTGGTGTCTAATTAATAAAAATTGCTTTAGAGTTTTAATTCGGTCCCTTCTCTAAGGAGACAGACTAGCAATCCTGGCTGAGAATTCCCAGTGCTTTAAATGGGAATTATCCTAAGGATAATGGCCTAATTAGGATGCCAGTTTTAGAACCTCATCTTGTGGGTGTGTGGCAAAGTAGGTGAAGTTGGCTGCTGCTGAAACCCACCCTGTGGGGTAGCAGTGGGCTTGGAAATGACTTGTCACATTCCTGGGATATAGTATTTCTGTATTAAGATAATTTGTAGTGCTAGAATTGAAATGTCTATGTTTGTCCTGCTAGTACCATACATTGTTTTTTGGTCGAATTCCTCAGTAACTGGCCTGAAAGAAAATGAAAAGCAGTTCTGTGAAGCCATTAGGAACATTTTCCTCCTGAAGTTACTCACTGGATGTTTGAGTCCTTTAAAAGCAGCAGCCTCTGCTACCAGGAGAGAGGAACTGGCTACTGAGCTTTTGCTCTGTTAATTCTCAGCCCAAGTGTGAGCCACACTGCGAGCAGGTAAAACTTAGCTCACTTAATAAAGTACATTTATTTGAGGAATTCTCAATGGCACTTAGTGCTACCATCAGAGCCACCCAATCTCGGAGGTTGCACTGAAGTGCAGGATATAGGTAAAATTTGTGCAATTCTGTGTTGTGGGTTTTCTCTGTTGTTTTTGATCTCTTGTCAGTCAGAGGAAAGGCAATAGCAAGTTGCTGGGTAAGGGGATTTGTAGAGGGAAAAGTTTTTGCCTTTACCATTGCTGACATGGATTAATTTATCAACGACGTGTGATATCCACTGGATTTTTTCCCTGTTTGTATTTCCTGAGTAACCTGTATGCAAATTGTGGTTGTAACCAAGCCTGGCACCTAATTTCCAAAACCTTAATGGGCATCCTGACACAGGAGCGAGCAGTTCTGTGCCAGGTGTGCAGTGGAGCTGTGTGGCATTTCTTACAGGGGAATTCGAAAGGGGCGCTGCCTCTCCTGGGGCTGTGGAGCAAACCTGAACCCCAGGGAACTCCCCGGATAAACGTCAGTGAATATTTCAAGGGTTTCTCTCTTAAGTTTTATAATTGCAAGTGATAGAAAGAAATCCTTCCCTGTGAGAGTGGGGAGGCCCTGGCACAGGTTGCCCAGAGAAGCTGTGGCTGCCCCATCCCTGGAAGTGTCCAAGGCCAGGTTGGACGGGGCTTGGAGCAACCTGGGCTAGTGGAAGGTGTCCCTGCCCATGGCAGGGTGGGACTGGATGGTCTTTAAGGTCCTTTCCAACCCAAACTATTCTGTGATTCCATGATAAGGGAGGAGCAGTGACATGTGCCTTACGTTTTCCTGTGTTGGTAGTTCGACCAGGAATCCTAGGTTGGGAATTCTGGAAGGGGAGGTTTGAGATAGCAGGGTCCTTGAGTCTTCGTGCTCTTGTTCTAATTTGAGTTTGATTTCGGGTGTTTCTCTTGGCAGAATTCCGCAAAAGCAGGCCGAGGCCATACGGTTTAGTGATTCCCATCAGCACCAATGCAGACGGAAGCTACAGCTCCAACATCCTGTCTGCGAGTCACCAAAGGCGAGCGCCGCGGGAGGTGTCCCAGAGCCCCAGGCAGCTCTACTTCAACGTCACTGCCTTCGGGAGGGAGTTCCACCTCCGGCTGAAGCCCAACACTCGCCTGCTGGCTCCCGAGGCCGTGGTGGAGTGGTACGAAGACTCTGTGCCAACCGGGAGCGATGGTGGTAACACGAGTCACGCTGGGACTGCTGCGGAGCGCTTGTGGAAGAGGGAGCCCCTGTGGACCAACTGCGCCTACGTGGGGGACATCACGGACATCCCCGGAGCTGCGGTGGCCATCAGCAACTGTGACGGGCTGGTAAGGCTGCTTTTGTGGGTCCTGGGTCTGGTGTTTGCTGCTTGGTGCACAGCTTCTGTGGCTTTTAACCACACCTTGCTAATGATGTGGTTTACAGAACTTAAATCCCTTAGGAAACACTGATGGGGACAATCCTACTGCTTTACTTTGGGATAATTCCTCTGAGGCTGATGAGCAAAGCCCTTCATGTCACCGGTGTGAGAGAGAGAAATAAAACCTGTGTCTTGTTGGGTGTCCTTTTTACTCTCATGAGGTGTTACAAACAGGAAAATTAATAACAAAGGCATTTTTAAATGTAAAAGGCGACCTCTGGATGACTGAATGTAGAATCTGGCATCCAGATCATCCCTCTGTAGCACTCTCAGGCAGCAAAATCACAGGTTCCCCTATAGTCCAAGTATAGCAGCTTTAAGTTTTAAAGAGTTTATTTATAAAGTGAGCACACTTTTTGTTCTCTTAGATGCAGTTTTGTTTCATCAGGAGGTGTCATATGAGAATTGAGTGGGTCACATCTGTTAAGGGTTCGTTCTCAGTCTGGTTGCCAACACTTGGGATTCCGTTGTGGCTCAGCAGATGCCCAAATCCCAAAGTGACAGGCTGAGCATATATGGATCCCACATACCATTCCTGGATTCAGTCACGTGGTAAAGCAAGCCAGCAACACTCACCTTGTGCTCCGTGAGGCGTGGGGGCAGCGGTGGAACACACCAGCAACATCCAGGGAGATGAATGTCCTGGCTACCCTCTTGCTGTCTGGGACAGCAGTCACATGGAAAGGCCTGCACCAGGCATCCCTTCTTGGCAGTGGGTTTCCCTCTTCCCCTCACATGCCACTTGGTCATGATCTGATTCCATTCTGTGATAAGTCCTTGCTAGGAAGGCTCCCACCTCACAGTGGGCTGGAGTCACTGTGAGAGTAACTGCAGAAAGGGCTCCAAATACCCATTCAGACTGCAATTCCTTGACTTCCCTTGCTTAAAGCAAGGAAATACTGGTGGTGGTTTGACCAGAGGTGATAACCTGTGTCAGTTTGGTGTGTTTTGGAGGGCTTTTGGTGGTTTTTTTTAGGAGAATCTGTTGTCAGTGTGCTATGTTTATGAAGGCCAAGCAGACATCTGCCTGGCTAGATGCAGCTTCTGATGGAATCCTTCCAGTGAATGAGACCCTGGGACTGGGAGCTGGATTTTAGCAGTAATCCTGAATGAAGTTGTTGTGTGGAGACAGCACGTGAAGACAAGCAATTGGATTAAATGGAATTAGCCTAAGGAGTGCAGCAGCTCCGGCAGAGATTGCCATGTGGCTGGCAAGCTGCTCCTGGGCTGTTTGCAGTTAAATGAAGCCACAAGAGACTTTTCGGTGGGGGAAAGGCCTCACACTGACAGAGGGCAGGGTTAGGTGGGATACTGGGAGGAAATTCTTGGCTGAGGGTGGTGAGGCCCTGGCACAGGTTGCCCAGAGCAGCTGTGGCTGCCCCATCCCTGGGAGCATTCAGGGCCAGGTCAGGTGGGACTTGGAGCAACCTGGGATAGTAGAAGGTGTCCTTTTTTTCTCATAGCACCTAGGAGAAGCACTTCATGTACTTTCCATGGTTTTAGGGACTGGACTAGGAGAATATGGGCTTTTTTCTTTGAGGAGAGGAGTGGATAAATGCTCCTGGGTCACTCTTGTCTCTGTTTGTCACAACCTGAGCTGTTGTTACAGCTCTGGGAGCGCTAATCATGTGAGTGTGACATAAATAAATAATCCTGAAGAGTTATTTAATGTTTTTTTTTTCTCCTGGCATCTCCAGAGGTAGCAAAAGGAACTTGCAGTTACCATTGCTGGCTTCTCTGTTGCTGTACTGTCTCTCTCAACCCAGCTAGAATATTTGATCCTCAGTGTTTCCCGAAGATGTGAAGGGTGAGATAATGTGGCTTAACAGAAACTGGAACAAGAGTGAGAAATTCTAAGGCCATGTGTATGTCTGTTGGAGAGATTTATTTTTGACTTCAAAGGAATTTAGACACTCTCCAGAGTAGCCAGCTGGGTTCTGAGCTCTTGGGAGAAAGTGAAGGGAATCACTGGAGTAGCAATTTGCACAATGCGTAGCTTATAAAAGAAGCTTGATATCATAAGTAACAGAAAAAGAGCACTTGGGAGCTAAATTTTGATTGCTTGTTTGTAAATATATGGAATAATTGACATTTGCATTAGTAAAGCAAGATTCTGCCCACAGTCTCTTCTTCAATCTAAACTTACATTTTAAAACCCCAAATATTTGGACACTTTGTTTTGAAATAGTTTGCATATCTACTTCTGCAGTGGAAGTTGTCTGTGTGCCATCACTTTTGCAAATTCCTATCTTCACATCTGCTTAATCTCCCTTGGAAAATAATCCTGTTTATTTAAAAAGCCCACATGTGCATGTGCCTGCACTTGTCATGGCAGAAGAACACTTCATTAGTCAGGGAGGAGCTGCCTCTTGTCTTCTTCACCAGGTGTCAGGAAGCTGGGGCTTCCACAGGTTTCTACTGGATATTTCTACTGTTGTTCAATCAAAGTAGTGATATTTATTGTCAGAATCCTTGGGGAGTGGAAGGTACCAGCCTCAAAAAACCACCACAACTGGTTCACACTGTAAATGAAGAGAAGGCAGCAGGCCTAACATTGACAAACAATGGCTTAAACCATTTTTCTACCTGTTGTTGTGGAGAAAATGAGCTCAGTTTCTCAGTCAGCTTCCTGAGCAGGTGTTGGTGTGTGGTGCCTTTAGCTTGTACTTCCACTGTGATGTTTTTGTAGACGTGTGCCTTTGTGTTTGAGCTGGGATCTGGTTTATGTTCACATCCATGCAATGCCAAGTGGGAATGTTGGTTTCTGTTTCTCCTAGAGCATTAACCTTGCTGGTTTGAAATCAAAGGGCTGGGCCCAGTGCAATGAACCTCTAATCTTTGACTTCAGATTCCGAGGAAAATGAGACTTATTTTTTTGTTTATTGCAAACTATTTTGGTTTTTTTTTGTTTACTGGGGTTCCATGGCCTTCAGGCCCAGTGCTGCACGTTCTCATTTGGAAGTACAGCTGTTTGCAAATGGAAGATGCTTGGGAGTCTGCCTGGCTTGCAGTGTTCAGCTGCCAAACCAGGGAAATCCTGGAAGGCAGACCAAACATCAGGAATTAAAAAAACCAAACAAAGCTGCTCAGATCTATCACTTGTGATGGATTATTCCTCACTTGCTTATTGCCATCCCTTTTTTCTAAGGATATGGAGATGTGAAGAAACGTATGTGTGCATGTTCACAGCTGCTTTCCTTTGGCAACTGCAGGCTGGAGTATCTCAGATGAGAGATACTCGCACAGCCTTTAGCCTTGCTTCAGGAAAAGCTTTGAAAATCTGCTGGAGTTGAGGCGTGTGGGATCCAAGGAGTTTCAGGGCATTTTGATTTGTTTCAAATGCTTTTTTGTTGCCCTTGTTCCATCAAGACTGAAGTATCAAGGCTTATTTCTTGTTCCTGTGTTGGTTCTAAATGTATTATTTCAGCCTGATTACCCCCAAGATGGCAAGACTAGAATTCCTAAATGGAGAAACAGCTTTCTAGGAGCCACTGGTGTTTTTTCCCAGTGTATTGGAATAGCATTCTGGAGGCAAACACTTGGATTGCTGCTGAGCATCTGCTTGTAGTGCACAGGAGACTCTTGCCGAGTTTTGGGTTGGGATTGGGACCGTCCCCTTGGGTCTGGAGGCCTTTCCCAGTCCAGGCTGGGGTCTGTGGCCAAGGGGTCATTTGGTAATCCTGGACCTCCTGGGAGGGCAGAGCGCAGGAAACCAGGATAAAGCCTGGGGAGATGGAAGCGGCTCCGTGCCACTCTGGGCAGATGGCAGCAGCGTCTTAGGCTGATTTACCGCTCTGATATTCCTGCTGCCCTGCCCTCCTGTGCTCTTCCCACAGTAATTCCCTCCCTGTGACCTGCCGTGCCCGGCCGTGCCTGCTCTCGCCGCTGGCGTTCCGCCGCACTTGGCAGGATTTAAGAACTGGGATTGATGGGCTGCAGCTGCACTCCATCCCCGTCACCTCTCTGCTGGGTGGCACTTCCCACAGGCTCCTACGGACTCTTCAGTCCCAGCAATCCATGGGAAAGAGGATTTCTCAAAGGGCAGGAGCTCCAAAAACTTGGAAAAATGCTTATTCAGGACTTGGGGATTCCTGTGTAAAACGCAGAGGGGAGAAGCACTGATTGAGAAGGGAGGCTGTGGGGCTTGAACTTGATAAACTCAAGTATATATAGTGTAAAATAAAATAATATAGACTTTTTTTATGTATCTGCTTTGCTTGTCCTTGGAGTTGTCGCTCAAAGCAAATGGGTGCTTAATCCTTACTTCTTGGAGTGCAGTCCAAGTTGATGCAGATGTTTGCTCAGGCTCCCTTTATCTCTTCTTGTTTGTTTTTGTAAGCTTTTTTAACAGGGCCAGATTTGGTCTAGTGATAGATTTGCCTCATTTCCAAGCCCTTCTGTCTTCTCCTCTCCTCCTGCCTTGCATTTCTCCCCTTCTCATTTACAACTAATAGTAGCAAGTAGTAAAAAGGGCAGTGCTCAGAGTTTCCATGTGGTTGTATCCTTTTTGTTTTGAAGGCTGATCGAACCGCTAAGTCCTCCTCTGAAATGATCATTTTTCTACAGGCTGCCACTCCTTCTCCCTTTATTCCAAATGGATTGTGGTCATAGGAAAAACTGGATAGGTATACAAGTAGCATATCTACTGCTGTCGACTTCATGTAGGCCAAAGTGGCCCAAAATACATCTCATAGCATGAAAATTTGCAGTCTGTTTGGGTAATAGGTTTTCCAAAAACAGGGACAAATTTAAGAATTCTGTTTTTCCCCCTCTGTTAGCCTTTCCAAAGTGTGATTTCTCAGGGGGAGAAGGAAAGATCCAGAAGGGGCCATGGAGCAGACTCCAGTGAGGGGTTTCAAATCTACCTTTGAAGTAATTCAGTTTTCCCCCTCATCGCTTTGACTGCAG